CGCCGAGCCCCAGCGGCTGCGGTTCCCCCAGGCCGGCCCCGCTGCGGGAGCACCGAGGCCCGGAGCTGGGTCTGTCCTGGGTTACTTTCTCAGGCCCTGCTGACCTGCGGTGCCTTAACTAGAGTCGTGAAGGGCTAAAATAACCCAGGGGGGAGCGCGGTGTGCAAGAAACGCACAAAAAGCTCCTTCCTGAGCCGACTTCCCAGCACGAGGGTGCTCGGCAGGGGAAGGCAGGAGCCAGGGCTGCCTCGGGAAACCGAAAGGGCAGGGACTGAGCAAAGGGCACGTGTGGAAAGGCAACGAGGCAGTTGTTCCTGACCTTTAGAACCACCACAAGGAGTCACACTGCCTGTATTAAAAACTGGGTGAGTACCTGTCGAGCAGGAGGATCTAGAGCCTGTTCCATCCATGCAGTCTGTCCCAGGACGTTTCTAAGTCATGAATGCATCTATAAAAACATGCACTTCAGGTAATGGCAATTCCCAAGAGATTTGCAGATAAGCCACGTTATGTCATCCCCTGGCAGGAGGGGGATGGCAGGGGGTCCATTTGGGATTTTAGGATTAGAATCCACTTTATAAGGCAGGCAGGAGAAACCAGGAGCAGAGAAACCCGAGTCCATGCAAAAATGAGAGTACACAGCAGGGATGCACACGTCAACTTCATTGGAACTTGTTTACAAAATTGACAAAAAAATAATCACCTTGTAAACTTATTCACATTTGTTGGAGCTCACAGAACTGGTTATACTCGCATGCTGAAATAAAGATTGTCAAGCCTTGTGTCACCCTGGATGACACCCAAGTGAGTTGACCCTTATGGCAGAAACAAACTCGGTATGGAACAAGATTTAAAGCTTGCATTGGGAGTTTCTCCAGCCATTTTTTCCCACTAGGAAAAGGGCTGGCTCCAGTACCTGGTGCTCCCTCAAGCAAAACGACCATCAGCACGGGCAGTTTGCTACCAGAGCTGGATGAACAGAGGGGACATCACCTCCCCAAGCCCACCAGGGCCATTGATTGCATCAGAAACAGCAGCAGTGGAGAATAAAAGATGGGGTTTATCAAGTGTAACATAATAATTCTTGGTCTTTTCCTGAAATTTGCCCTGTATTCCAAGGGCTCAAAAGAGCACCAACCCTGTTCTGAAATAAACCACTCGGGGACAGACAGAGAAGGGGTGAGGGAAAATAAGATGCACCATTTTTTACATAAACAAAAGCCAAGCATTTTCCAAAGTGAGCAGCCTCTCAGTCCTCTACCATCCAATCAGCCTTTCTGAACTGCAGGACAGTAGCTTTTCCCAACTCTAAAAGAAGGACAACATGGAAGTAAACTGAAAATATACTTGGAAACAATTTTTGGTAAGCACTTTTTCTGGTTTCACTCTGATTTCAGCCATGGAAGCAAACAGACAGCAGTGAAGATCACTGAGACAGCCACACATTTCAGTACCAGTCAGATCACAAAGGAAGTGTTTGTAACAAGGACAACTTTAAAATCAACCAAACCTTAGTTGGATTCCAGGGAATGAACCACCTTCAAGTCTTCCTGCCAAGGAAAACCCTTTTTAAATCAAGTAAGACCCTGACTCTGCTGTCCAAGGCAGGAGAACCATTGCCAAGGCTCTTCTCCACAGAATTGAGATCCAGCACAAACAGGTTAACAGAGTTAACATCACTAAACCTAGAAATATTTTTGGTATCATGTCCCCATCCCTTTTCCCCTGGACAGAAGCCCAGCAGTGGGGACTGCAGAAAACAACTAGTCCCAAATGTTAAAGCAATTCCAGTTAATAAAACCTCTTTGTTTTCTGTAGGGAACCAGGCTGCTTTAGAAATCATTTCAACAGGAATCATATATTACAAAGTTACTGAGAAGGAAATGAACTGTGATCTTTTCAAACGCTGAGGTACATTAACAGCAACTGGGTTCTCAGTTCTTCAGACCCCGGATCCAACCAGAGTTAAAAAAACAATCCAACCTGTCCAACTGAATCCCACCGAGGTGCTTGGAAGACATCTTGTGTATCCCTACCAGCTGCTTCCCACAGGGCTGGCTGGGATTCTGCTCCAAAGGGTTTCCCAGGATCCACGAGCTGGGCTGGACTGAGCCAACTTGTTTCGAAAAAAACAAACAGGAGTTAAGTAGAAATCATTCACAAACTGGTTTGTGCAAATTTTTTTTATTTCCACATTTATATCACAATGTGTCCACTTAAAGGACCAAATAGCAAAGTTGCTCCCTTCTGCATCCCAGGAACACAGAAGTCTAGTCTGTACATTCACTAAGGCTCTTTGTTTTTGCAAATTGCGTTTATGATGGATATCCATAAGGCAAACAATATCTAAAGGAATGGTAACAAGTATATTTCCAGCATACAAACAGGCTTCCTTTTTCCCTCTCACAGTACAGTTACAAACTTGTAGCACCCTCATTACATTTAGATTCTAGAAAAGGTGGTTTTTTCATTTTTTTTTCATTATTTTTTATTATTTTTTTTTTGTTTCCTAGAAGTTTGCAGGAAGGGAAAAGGAGGGAAAAAAAATATTTGGCTGGTGGTGGTGGGATCAAAAATATTGTTAAACATCTAGGGGTTTTTTTGTGTTTTTTTTTTGTTTTGTTTTGTTTTTTTGCAGCATTTCTCAGAGACTGGATTTAAACTGAAACCAGACTAAAATATGTGGATGCCTATGGAATGTTGAGCTGAAGCTGGTGGCCCAGCCTGCAGTGCAACACCTGCTGTTTAAAACCCAATCTCAGTACCACATGACTTTAAAAAAAGAAACAAACAACCAACAAACCCCAAAAAACTTAAATCACGTTCAGAGATGTGATACAAAGAAAACTACAGGGTTGTTTTGTTTTTGTTTGGTTTTTTTTTTGCACCTCGTCTCTCGAATATCTCACTGCCAAATAAAAACCCAAATCAAGTCAAATAAATAGATGCATATTTTAAGGTAACTTCCACAATTTCTCTGTACCTGCCTGTCGTGAGATTCCGGCATTCAGAAAGTGCTGGAAATCCTCTTCACTTCTTGGGGACTAACACTTATTTTTTATAGCTGGCTCGCTAGAGAGTTTTGAACTCCATTTTCTCAACCTTCGTGTGCCTTCCTTTGCAATTGTTAGTAAACTGGTAGCAGCATTTCACAAAAGGAGAACTGAAAGGGAAGAGCTGTTGGGAACCAGCTCCCTCAACCCCCTCTCTCTGCTCGTGTGCCCAGGACAGGAGCTCTCTCCCTCTGTAAGTGGCATCGAGTGTCTGCCCGTTTTGCTAACTGCAGATGGAAAAATAAAAACAACAAACCAACAACAGAAAATAAAGGAAAAAAAAAAAAGCATTTTTAGCAAAACTGTACTCAGTCTAGGCAGACATAAGGCAGGATGTTCAATCTACCATCATCCCCGTGTGGATCTAAAGATATGCACTGTGTCCAATCATACCAGTTACCCTGTGTGTCATAACAACCGTTCGCGCCCGGCCAGTTCTGTTCACATAACCTGTCCAGGTCATCACTTGTGACCTCTCTTGTGACCCCAGGCAAGTCTGTAGGTTTGCTGTTAGGAGCTAGAACATGAGTCTTTCTAGCCTCTTTTCTAGTGCTTTCCTCCTGCTTTAAATACTCAGACATGAAGTAGTGAGCTCCTGGAGTCTGTACTCCTGATGAGGACAGCAAGCTACTCTGTCTGTTTAAATAGGACTGAATGATTTCATTTCTGGACAACTCTTTCCAGTTCGTTTGTTCAAAAGGGCTTTGCAGGTTGGGTTTTTGCTCCTGCTTTTCTGTTTCTGTCCTGTGCTGTTCAGTCAGTGCAGGGATTTCTACCTGCAAAGGATCTTTCTGTGTTAAAGGTTTTATCTGTCCTGTCATGGGATCAAAAGTGAGTTTTCTCTCTTTTAACCTCACAGGTTTCACACCTCCTTCTGTCACGTGCCCATCCAAGTTGACCGTATAGTCTCTGGGTCGGTACCTTTTCTTCTTTTTACTATCTGAACCTGAAGCAGCATCATCACTGTCCATTTTTGAAGTGTCCTGTGAAAAGCCCATGTGTGGCATGAGAGATTCCCCAGGGTGGGAGCTGGTTTTGCAGCTGGGAGCTGTGTGCTGTTGCAGTGTCCCTGCTGTGTGCCTGTGCTGGCTTTCAGAAGGTACCTGCTGCTCCTGCCAGTGCTGAGACACCTCAGGGACTGGTTGCTGAGAGAACTCCAGTCTTTTTGCTGGCATGGGAGGTGTTGATGGTTGCATCAAGGATGGTGGTGGTGATGGCACCTGTGCAGTGTCTAAGAACTGAGACCTTTGAGATGGACTGGGCATGGAATCCTTTGGTGAGTACGTAGTATGCTGCCGAGCAAAAGTCTCATGCCTGACATTCCTGGGGCTAAAGGAGGAACAGCGAGGACTCTTGGGTTGGTGCTGCCCTGGGGTGTCTTCTGATTTATCATGCTGCTGAAGCACTGCAGTCTTTAGTAACGAGGAAGTGCTTGAAGGTTTTACAAGTCCTGGAGAACTGGTGTGAGGTTTTACAGCATTTACTGGGATCTTACTGTGTTTATCATTTTCACTGAGTTCTGTCCTGCTGCTTTCAGGCCCCACGTGTAGATTTACGTCTACAGGACTAGGAAAATTTTCAGGACTACCTCCAATTCCATTTGTTGGAGGGGGTGAAGAGTTTTGTAATACTTCATGACTAGCTTTGGAGATGTTTGGGGGAGGAGGACCCTGATGCCCATCCCTGTGTTCACTTTTCCTTTTCCGATTTCCCAATTTCT